AGTAGGGGTGGGAGGAAGACTTTTCTTTCTCTCAGCTTAGGTTTGTCGTCAGCGGAAGAGATAATAATGGCCGGCCTCTACTGAGTACTAACTAAATGCCAGTACTGAGCTACGTGCCAGAGCTGGGATTTGAACTCTACAAGCAGGACCCCAGGGGCCAAACACGGTCACCTTGAGAATTCAAGTGTCTGGAACCGCTACACACATGACACAGAAAAGGAGCCGAGGTGCCAAAACCAGCTCCCTGGTTGGCCTGAGTTTCCTTGGCTTCTCAGAACCTGGAATCTCTTCCCACACGGACTCTCCCAGCTGCTTTAGAACCAGCCTGCTACTTGGATCTGGGCCCTGCCCAGCCCTCCTGTGAGCAGCCATTGTTTATGATGGAGATAAGACAGCTGGTTGAAAACCATGATGCTGTAATTTGTAAAATGATCTAGAATCCCAGTCAGAAGGCTGGATTTACCCAGTCCTCATTCCCTGAGTTCCATCAGCTCCCAATTCTCCCTCCCTACCATCTCCTCTGGCCCCTTTTCACCTCCCCCTACTGAGCCCCCCTCCTCCTGGCTCTCTCCTGCTTGGGGAGCCCACAGCTGCACTGGACAGATCATTTTACACTGATATATGTTGCAATTACATCAGTTCTACCCTGTGTTCCTCCACTGTTGTTGCTCTCTGAGAAGATCACGGAGTGTTAGAGATGATGTATGACAAACCAGTCACTGCCAGGCACCCTACTGGTCCTAAAGACCATGAAAATACAGGCCCCTGGGCCTGCTGATCCCAATGCCCGGGATATGAATCCATATTCTAATCAGTGCCCCCAGGATTTTATGACATGAGGTTAGATGAAGAATCACTGCCTACCTTCTCATTGGAGTCCTTCTCCACCAGACCTTCCTTCCACCCATGCCTCTTTTGTTAGTTTCCAAGCCCCTAGTTTTTGGGCATCTTGCTAGTTCTTTACCCCTTTAATACTTTCATTTAATAACACTTACTAGGTGCCTCTAATATGCCAACCACTAGGGCAGACCCTTTATCTCCACCTTTAAACCACCCTGCAAGGAAAGAATTCGGTTTCCTGCTTTACACATGAAGAAACCGCCTCCCCTCCTACTCCCCCACCCCGCCATCATCCACCTGGCTCTCTGGCTCCAGAGCCCACAGCTGCCCGGAACAGATCATTTGCAGTGATATGTGTGGTCATTACATCTGTTCTTCCCCATGATCCCTGCTGGGAACAGCCAGGATTCAACGGCAGGCATGCCTGGTTTGGAAGCCTGTGCCCTGAGTTTATTGGTCACACTGTTTCTTCACACAGTGTCTGGGAAATAGTAAATATTTGTTAATGAGCAACTGAAGGAATAAGTGAAAGAAGAGTCCATGCTCAAAGTTAGGACATCTCTCCCTCCCCCAACATACACACTCACAGAATTCTGCCTCTGGGCCACCTCGTGTTCTTCCTACCCTGTACCCTACACTTTGCATGTCTGACCCCTGCCCTCCCAGTCCCACTTGGATGACGACTCTGAGCCTCTCTGAGTGGTTGCCCTGGCTGCTTGCAGAGAATCAGCAGAACTAGCCTCCTGACTTCTCTGAAACCCAAGAGCTCCCAGCTTTGCCCCTAGCTCTGGGCAGAGGGCTGGACCAGGACTGACCAGGGCTCCTGGAAATCTAGGGCCCCTCCCCCTTCTCCTCTTTCCTTTCCTTCTTTCCCTTTACTCTCTTTCCAACAGCAACAGAACCAGGCCCTGAAGACAGCAGAATGGTTGCTTAATTTAGGAGGGCCTCGGTGAGTCAGGAGGGGTCTCTTTGGAGCCCAGAGCCCAGTTCAGAGAAAACAAATGGGGTGGGGAAGTGGGGTCTCTGGGGAAAATGGATTGTCAAACAAACGTTTCACCAGTTCTCCTAGTTCTTTTTATCTCTCAGGCCATCTTGCTTATCTATGGCAATCTCATAACAAAGAGAATGCCCTGGGAACAGATACCACCTCTGACGCAGTAGAGCAGAGATCTGGAAACCTAGTAGAGAAGCTGGTAAACATTAATCCTCCAGCAAATATTTGTTCAAGGAGTAACAAAAGCTACGCTTTATACAGAACTTGCTACTGTACCAGACATTATTGCCGGAAGCCAGTCCACCCTTGCTGCTTGACACAGTCACTGCAGGGAAGAAACATCTGCACAGCTTATGTTTCAAGGGACCTGGCGTATATGGCATATGTTTGCTCCCCCTCTTAGCGCTATGTGTTTTAAACATGACCACCTCCCCGAGAAAGGTTGTTTCCCCAGGTGAGGATTTTTCCCTGGAGTTAGGGATTAACAGGACTAAGGAAGGGAATCAGTAAAACCCCTTAACTAAGTGCCAGGCGGGTAGTTAATCACTTTAACTACAAACAACCTTGGAATGGAGATAACAAACGCCCTAACCTTTGGAATGGAATGGATAGGATTAAAATCAACTGGTATAAATACAGATGTAACAGGACAAAAAAAAAAGAACTTCACTATGATGATCAACTGAATGCTGCCTCCGTGTCATTCCTTCTTCGCCGACTCCATGATGGGAACCCCTGTACCTGCTGGGGCTGGACCCCAGCACTTTATATTATCTCACTGAATCCTTTCAACAACCCTAACAGTTAAGAATTATTGTGACCATTTTACAAATGAGAAATGAACGTAGAAAGCATTTATGCAAGCCCGCCCCCCGCCCTAGGATTACATCAGCACAGAAATGGTAAAGCTGTAAAGCTGGGATTGAACTGAGGTCTGGTCAGTTTCAAGGTCCCCATTCTTTCCCACAGTGCTGCCTAGGGAACCAGGCACAGATTCTGTAGAAATGTATTCATTCTAAACCATGTGGTGTGTGTATATACCCCGACTCTCCTCGCAGCCCTAGAGTGGTTAGTTAGCGTCTGAAGCACTCTAATCAGGCATCCACACACGAGAGGGTGGTTACATAAACACTTCAACCGTCATCCAACTCTACACAGCGGGCTGAATGTGCTTGAGGGATGCTAGAAACAATCCTCTGTTGGTGAAGTAAGTGCTTTTCAAAACATGGAGATAGCCAGAAAGATGATTTGGGCCAGTGGTCGGCAAACTCATTAGTTAACAGAGCCAAATATCAACAGTACAACGATTGAAATTTCTTTTGAGAGCCACATTTTTTAAACTTAAACTATATAGGTAGGTATATTGTTATTAACTTAATTAGGGCACTCCTAAGGCTTAGGAAGAGCCACACTCAAGGGGCCAAAGAGCCGCATGTGGCTCGTGAGCTGCAGTTTGCCGACCATGGACTTGGGCCCTCGCACGAAGGATTTGCACAAAGCAGACAGGCCAGCTCCCTTGAAGACTGATGGCTTTTTGTGCCCGCCTGCTAATACATGTTTGTATATTTGCCAGATTTTGGCCTCGGCCATTTTTAATATCCCACCTGTAGGAAGGGACAAATGGCCTCCACTCACCTCTCATCTCTAGTGACTGCAAATATATGAACCTGACTTTCGGGTTCCATCAATCCCAGGTCGGGGCATGTACGAGAAGCAACTAATCAATGTTTTTCTCTCACATCCATGTTTCTCTCTCTTCTCTCTCTAAAATCCGTAACATCAGCCCTAGCTGGTTTGGCTCAGTGGACAGAGTGTCGGCCTGTGGACTGAAGGGTCCCAGGTTCAATTCCGGTCAAAGGCACATGCCCAGGTTTCGGGCTCAATCCCCAGTAGGGGGCATACAGGAGGTAAATAATCAATGATTCTCACACATCATTGATGTTTCTATCTCTCTCTCCCTCCCCCTTCCTCTCTGAAATCAGTAAAAATATATTAAAAGGAAAAAAATGTTTCATTCTCTAGCCAATAAAAGGATTTTTTAAAAATCCTATTCTTGGGTGAGGACTAAAAAAGGAAAAGAACTAGACGATTGCCAAAGGGCCACATTGGCCCAGACCTGTTCACAATGAGGGCCCATCCAGGCCTCATCCTCCCCTCAGAAGAGAGAAGGAGGCCCTCAGTTTTAGTGACCCAGTGACCCCTGGACTCTGGGCACATGGTGGCTTTCTTCCTCTCTCTCTGCTGTAGGGCCACTTATAAGAAGCTACCACCAAGCGGAACGAGCTGTAGGTGTGGTGGGTACCATTTCTCCAAGGATCCCAGCAGGCTCCCAGGCCCCCGGCTCCCCCAGCCCTTCCTGCTCTCCTCCCTCTCCCACTACAGCACCAGCCCAAGATGGGGCCCAAGATGGCTTTTTCTTTACTTCAGTTTTACAAAGTCCCCCTCAGCTGTGGTAACTCTTTCATAATCCTGCCTTTTTCTCCTGCTCTCAAATTCTCTGACCTGAAGGTAGCTAGGCTGAAGAAATCATTTCTCCCGTTACAACAGGACATATTGAGCCAGGAAGCAAGGAGATGGTTCATCCAAGCTTAGAGTTGGGCACTGAGGGGCGCACTTGGGACAACTTAAAAGTCAGCTACCATAACTGAGGGGGGGGGGGGGGGGGGGAGAAGAGATGGACATAGGTGTCAGCTGATATCATTGTCTGGATTTGGCCAGAGGCCACAATTTGACCCTCAGCCTCAGTTCCAGGAAGGGCCATATAGGAAGTGCCATAGGACAGAGAGATCACAGGAAAAAGACACTGACTCAGTCATCTCAACCCTTAATCTCAGGTTTAAGTTGGATACACCAGGCTAGAGGCCAGAGGGATTCATTCCTGAGGTGAGGTGGGGTGGGGTGGGGTGGTTCAGGGTGATATGGGAGCCAGGTCTCATTGGCATCACAACAGCTGCCTCTGCTGATTGGGGGCCAGTGGGGTTGTAGAGAGGACACCAGAAACCCAACCAGAGTTGCAAGAGGTGGGGGAGTTGCTGGCGGCCAGCACAGGGTGGTGGGGTCAGGCAGAGGAGTCAACATCAGCAAGGGTGGCTGGTGGGACAATCCTGGTTATTAGATGGGAAACTGCTCTGCCTGTAAGCAGCCCTCATGCCTGGTTATTGCTTACCTGCAACCCCCAAAGAATGCCAGCGTCTTGGGCTGTGGGAGTCACTCTCTCGCTGGAGCAGAGGCGGGGACGAACCCATTTTCTTCTACCCATCCATTCACTCTGGTGAGTATTAGGTGGGAACTAATAAAAATAAATAGAAGAGCTATAAAACTCAGCTATAAAGAACATTATTGGGACAACTGGGGAAATTAGAATATGTCCTGCATCGAACATGATAGTATTGCATCAGTGTTAAATATTCTAAGTGTGATATTAGGGTGTTCACCCTTGTTCTTAGAAAGGTACATGCTAAATATTCAGGAGTAAACGGTCGAAAAATTGTGTAAAAAAGAGGGATAAAAAAGTTGTATGAAAAAAGGAGATAAAGTTGTGTACAACTATCAAATGGGTGAGAGACAGAGAGGAAAAGAGAGAGAGAGAGAAAGTGGTAATAAGTTAATAGTTGGTAAATCTAGGTGAAGAGTATATGGGTAATTTTTTGGTAACTTCTGTAAGTTTGAAATTTTCAAAACAAAAAGTTGGGAGGAAAGTTTGAGGGAAAAAGAATAGCTATCACTTATTGAACAATAATTGGATCCCAAAATTTATGTAACTCTTTTATCTGATTTAATTCAGAGAGAGACATTACCATTCTCATATTAAAGGTAAGGAACCTGGGTCCCAAAGCGGCTAAGGACCTTGCCCGAGTTTACAGAGCTGGGACTGGAACAGACCCCAAAGCAGGGGTTATCACACAAAGGAGTGTGCTTAGGGGAACTAACCTCTAACACTTTCTTGAGCCTTTCTGTGTGTTAGCAACGTTCTAAAATTATCTGTGCACATCAACTCATTTAATGTTCACAAAGCTATGTTCTTTGTGAAAAATCACTTCCCTGGGGGGAGGGGTGGTGGTGGCGGGGAATGAAGGCCAATCCACACATTGATAGAAGTACAGGTTGGTGCAGTCTCTTTTGAGGGTAATTTGGCAGCATCTGTTGGAATTTAAAATTCCCATTGTGTTTAGAGCCAGTAATTCCACTTCTAAGTATTAAACCATAGTCATATATGGGGACCAAGAAGTATGTACAAAGACAGTCATTGCAGCAAGATATATGATAACCAGAGATTGAAAACATCATAAATATCCATCATTAAAAATATTCGGAGACCATTAAAAATAAGGCATCTTTAATTGTGCTGATATGTCACACTCAGAGTCAACAATGGTAATGTCAAAGAAAAAAAAGCAAGGGATATTTCCTTAGTGTTGAAAGGATATGAATACATATGCATCTATGAATACATGAATACTTTTGCATGCATGAATATCTTGAAAGTATACACTCAAAAACTTATGACAGCCCTGGCCGGTGTAGTTCAGTGATTAGAGTCAACCTGCATACCAAAGGGTCTCAGGTTCAGTTCTGGTCAAGGGCTCGAGCCTGGGTTGTTGCAGGTTCCATCCCTACCCCAGATGCAACCAATGTGTCTCTCTCACATCAGTTTTTTTCTCTCCCTCTCTCTTTCCCTCTCCTCCCACTCTTTCTAAAGATCAATGGAAAAAATATCCTCGGGTGAAGATTAATAAAAAAAGATACCAAATTTACAACAGTAGTTGTGTTTGGGGAGGAAGGGACAGGGTGGAAGACTTTTCATTGTTAGCCCTTCTGCATTATTTGAAATTTATACTATGTACATGGTTACCAATTCAAAGTGAATGAACGTATAAATGAATGGATCTCCCTTACAAACTGCAGACGACTTGCTTTTGGGCTTCCTTAGGCAATTTCCAGAGTGTTGAAGGGGACAGGAGAGGCCAGCGTCCCAGACTGGAGCTGACCTATATCCCAATCTCCAGGAGCTGTGAATCTATTTGCAGGTTCTGCCCCAGGGGTCCAATTGGCCCAGTTGAACTTTCACCCTTGGTCACCTGAACTACTGGACCATCTTTTCATAATGTCTGGGCTCTCAAAACTGTGCGTGAGAATCACCTGGGGAACTTGTTAGCTGGGCAATTTCCCAGCTCACCTCCAGAGGTTCAGATTCACACCTGGGGTGGAGCCAGGCGATCCTTCACCACCACCTGGACTGAGTCTTCTTAAAGCCCCTTTGGAGAATCCGGTCCTGGTGGTGTTTGCCTCTGTTCATTCCTTTGGGGAGGAAAGCTTTTACCCCATTCCCACCTACCCTGAAATTGAGTGATCC